CTTTCAGTACCTAAAGGGAGCCTACAGCAGGAGGGGAATCAACTCTTGGAAAGGGTAGATAAGTGCAGGACAAGGGGAAATGGTTTTAAGCTGAGGGAAGGGAGATTTAGGTTGGAAGTCGGGGGGAAATTCTTTACAGAGAGAGTGGTGAGGTGCTGGAACAGCTGCCCAGAGAGGCTGTGGATGCCCCGTCCCTGGAGGTGTTGAAGGCCAGGTTGGATGGGGCCCTGGGCAGCCTGGTCTAGCATTAGGTGGGATGGTTGGTGGCCCTGCATGTGTCAGGGGGGTTGGAGATTCATGATCCTTGAGGTCCCTTCCAACCCTGGCCATTCTGTGATTGTGAGACTGGCATGAAAAAGCACTGCAGTGGATCCCCTGCCTTCCTTATCCCAGTCCTGTTAAAGCTGCTGAAAGCCCACCTGCCAGCATACACACTGCTGTGGTTTGAGCTTCATTAAATATAGAAATACAAAGCTCTAATTCCACGTTTTGAGCAAGATGTATTTTTGGTCACAGGTTCCCTCCCAAAGAGGGGTGTCTGCTGCTGATGTGTGCAGGGAAGAGGAACGGAGGCACAAGTGAGACTTACTTTTAATGCATAGGCATCCAGCTTCTCAAATTTCTGTAGATCCACTGCCAGGGATTTCAAAGAGGATTTGTCCCATGGATACACTGGGAAGAAATAAGCGGTCATTGTCTGGGGAAGGAAGGGCTGCTCCTGCCTGAGGGGATGTCAGCAGTGGGTGCTCAGGGACAGCGAGCGTGAGGGCACCCGTGCAGGCAGAGCTTTGTTTATCTCAGCTTTCCCTGCAAAGGGCTATTAGGCTGACCATAGGAGAGAGAAAGCAGATTTACGTGTTTGAAGGTTCCTGCTACGTAATGCTCCGAAAATTACTTATCGCCTTTTGGGAACTGGATATTTTCTTAAGATTGTTGATCAGTTTTTCATCTTTGTCTGGTTATAGCTGCAAAAGCTTAGTGCAGATGTGAGGTCTGGAATAGCTCAGCATGTTAGCTGGGCAGCTGGGATGTGAGCACGGATCCTGGCTGCAACATTGGCATCAGGGCATGGAGCTGTGAGAACATCTCCAATGTGTGATGTTCCCAAAGCCACTATGGATGTATGGAGGACTGGAAAGGTGGATGTGGTCATGGTAGTGCAAATCAGATCACTGCTTTGTGCCCTGTGGGAGCTTTTAGGAATGATAGGAGTCCTACCTGGCACTGGCACAGGTTGCCCAGAGATGTGGTGGATGTCCTATCCTTGTTAGACACCCAAGGTCAGGCTGGATGGGGCTCTGAGAACCTGATGGAGCTGTAGGTGCCCCTGTTCATTGCAGGGGAATTGGGCTAGATGGCCTTTAAGGGTTCCTTCCCACTCAAATGATTCTATGGGGGGCCAGCATGGGAGGGGGTGCAGCAATAGTTACCATGCAGGTCTTTTGCGCTGGGTGGCCTTGGGGCTTCGGTCCTTTCAAAAGCTGGAAAACAACACAAAAAAAGTGTAAGCTGAGCAGTTCTTGGCAAGAGAAGAAGAACAAAGAGAAATAGATGAATTCTGAGTCCTCAGGCTATCCCTGTGCTCTGCGCTCCTTGGCTGCTGGATGTCTCCCATTGCAGCCCTAAGGCTGGGGACATCAGATGCTGGCCAAACCACTGGTGGCCTGAAGGATGCACAGGTGGAATGGTCAGCACTTGGCCCAGGGGCCGGTGGCATCTCCAGATCTTTGAGTTGACAGCCCCAGCGAGGGAGGTGGGATTGGGTTCCTTCCAGAGCCAACCCCCCAGCACGGGGCTGTGTGCTGGCAGGCAGCCTCACCTTTGTTGTCCTGGCCTCTCAGGCTGGGCAATCTCCGGGGACCTGCAATGACACCGACACAATTTTTGAAGCCACTGTGAGGTTGTGGCAGTCGACACCCGGCATAGGGGTGCAGTGTTTCCTTGGCTCAGAGGGAAGGATGTCCCCTCTGCCATGGCCGTGGTGGTTCCCCAGCCAGGAACGTACCTTTCCCAAAGGAGAGCTTCTTGAAGAACTGCGGGGAGGTGCCCTTGGGATGGATCTCCACTGTCACGTGGGTTCCTGAAAGAAATGGTGACAAACACACTGGGAAAAGGAGCTCTAATCAGCAAGAGAACGGGAAGGTGAGTGGTATCAAGCCAAGGGGTCCCTGTGCCAAGCCCAGGTCGTGTTTGCCCAAATCTAGAATCATGGGGTCATCGGGGTTGGGGAGGACCTTCAAGGTCATCAAGTCCAATTGAAATGGCTCAGCTTCAGCAAAACGGGCAGCACCTCTGGCCCTGTGAAGGGACCAGAGCCCTCTGCTTTCCTGGCAGAACAAATAAACCGTACCATAAGAAAGCCCAGGGTCACTCCTAATGTAGATCTCAAAAAAAAAAATTTAAATTTTCCCAGTTCTCATTAAAAAAAAAAAAAAAAAGAAGGCAGTCTGTTATAGTGTAACAGGTGATAAAGCAGAAGTCCTCAGTGAGGATCATGTGGCAGCTTGAAGAAGAGGTTTATTGCCCTATTAAGTAGTCCTTGATGGAGATACGGTAAACAGAGAATCAATGGCTTTCATTGATTTTTCTCGGAATAACACATAAAAAGGCTCAAAGCTATGGAAATGACTTGGCTTGGGATATGAGAGCCTTTGGCAAAGGCCTCTGCCTGTGAGGGGCAGCAGTGGCTGGGAGCACGGTGCTCTGCACACTGGGATGCTCCCAACTGCTTCGCTGGAGATGGGGGCTCTGTGCTCAAAGCTCTGCTCTGGCCATAAGGTAGAACTGGAAGGAACAAGTCAGAAAGTCTTACAGGAGTTGCCCAGGCTGTCTGAAAGAAGCTGTGCTCTGGGGCAAGCATGTAAGTGGGGTTCAGCCCTCCTTATGCAGTTGCTTCTCAGTGGCATGCCTTTGGGCACATACCATGATTTCCTTGGGGTTTTTATATCTGAAGGGGTGCTTTTTTATTTCTCAAGATTATTTTTATCTTTGGGTTTTGTGGGCGTTTTACTTGCCAATATCTTCCCCTCTCTCATTATTTTTTTTTTAATTAGATTTTTAATTTTTTTTTTTTTTCCAAGAAACAAATTTAGCATTGTGGGATGCCTCCTTCCAGTAAGTTTGGCATTAAAAAAATGATAAAAGCTAATCCTGTGGCCCAATGACTTCTCTGGGGTGCAGCTGGCCCTGCTCTGCTTGGGACGGCTCCTTGCCCTGCACCCCCCTTGCCTTGGATGATGGCAATGCTGACCCACCCTGAGAGGATGCAGGGCACTGGTGGCCCTGTTGCCAATGTCCCTGCGTGCCACCTAACTTTGTGTCTGCGGTATGGGACTCATGGACATTTGTCTGCTTGCTGTAGCTGCTGTGGGGACAACTTAACAGTCCTCAGAAGACCAAATGAAGCATTTGGAGGTATTGCTGTGCCCCAGTGCTTGGGACTGGAAGGACCTAAGGACTTTCTGAGTTCCTGTGGGATCACTGTAGGGCATTTTTTACTAGTTTTGGGCTGTCCCAGCGTGTTTTGTTACAAAACTGTTTGAACAGGAGATCCCCAAATCTCTGCTCTGGAAAACTCATATCCCTTGGGTGGCCACTTACCTTCATTAGTGTAGGAAGTAACAGTTTGCTTCTGCTTGTGGGGCTCCTTGGTGGCTTGCTGGCCTGTTTGTAGGAAGAAGGACAGCTCAGTGCCATGAGGAGAGCAGAGAGCCCAGTGTCAGCTCTGCAGAGCAGTATGGATGTGGATGAGGGCTTGCATGTGATGCTGGGTGGGACATGGAATGGAGTGAGACGATGGTGCAGGATGAGGTGATGGCATAGGGGTGATGTGAACAGGGACCGTGGAAGCTTGCACACCCTCATGGGTGGCAGATCCCCAGATGTGCATTCACCACACTGGGTGCATCCAAAATTTCAGGCTGTCCCAAACCTTGGGGGTATATGGGCAACGTGGGGCTCTTAGGAAAGCTGAGGGCCCTGCAGGTCTGCCCTGTACTACATGGGAGAGAAGGTGGCCCACTGGGATGATAACGTGGATGATAAAGGGGGATTCATTAATCCCTGTGGTACCAAGGGATCGAGAGTGCTGCCTGCCTTTCCAACACCTCCATCACCAATGTCACCAACACATGTCTTGGCTGCAATGTGAGGAGAGCATGGATGGGTTCCCCCCCCAGTGACCCAAGGATCTTGTGCCCAGCAAAGCCCACGGAGTGCTGGAAGGGGATGGGTTGCAGAGCTGGGCACCAAACACTGGAGGGTGGACACTGCATGCTGCTTTTTGATAGTGGGGTTTCCCCACACGCAGGATGAAGACAACGTACCGCTGAGGTCTCTCTTTGGAGGTGGCTGCGGTCTGCTGTTTCCATTTCCATCATCCTTCAGACCTGTACAACACAAATATGAGGTTGGCAGGCAGTGCTGGCACAGCAGGGTGTCAGCTGGGCATTATTTCCCACATAAATGTGCAGACAAGCACGGCGATCGGATCTCTCCATGCAGTTCCCTTCTCTCCTACGAATTCCCAAACCAGCGGGCATCAACACAGCAGCCAGCCTTCCCCTGAGGGCTTCGAGCAGAATCTCCCCTTTGCTCCCTTTCCTCCAGCAGGGAGGGTTCCCTGCGTTTGCAGAACACGGCTTCAGCCTTTCGGAAGACCCCCTTTGAAGGCTGGGAGCCAGGGAGATGGCACCGGACCTATAAATGGCTCTGGGCAGCCACCTGTGGGGACAAAGCCTGCAAACCCCTCGCACCCGGCAGCTTTGTCTCGTGTTCACAGGGCACGACGAGGTGCACGCCTGGTCCTCGCGTGTCACCTACAGCGGCACACACCAGCAGCGTGCAGGAGAAAACGGCTCTCCTGCAAAAAAGTTTAGGGTTTGTTTTTTTTTTTCCTTTTCTTTTTGCAACACGTGGAATGGGAAAAGCCCGAGCCCTGCTTCAAAGCTCCTTGTCCCCAGCCGGCGCGGCACCTGCAGCCCTCCCCTCCCTGGGACGAGGCTTTACCTGCGCCGTCCGTCAGTCCGTCCCTCTGCCCTTTCCGCTCGGGGCGGACGATGAGCAGCAGGTTGATCGCCACGGCGTTGGCACCGTCCTTCAGCTCCACGGTCCCCATCGCGGCAGGGCCACCGCTGAGCTGCCGCCGCGCCGAGCTGCCCCGCTCGGTCACCATCCGTGCTCTGCCAAAGCCGAGCGCGGCCAGGAGGCAGAGAACGACCTGCCCGGGGGAAGGAGCCGCGCTTCGGCCGGGGGCTCTGGTTTCAGAGCGTGCCCTGGGCTCCCCCTCCCCTCGCTCTGCCCTTTCGGCTTTGAGCACTTGCCTGCACTCAAATCCCCCTCGCAAGCTCTCTTGGCTTGGGGGGGATTCGCTTTCCCCAGCGGGCAGAAATCCTTAAAAGGCTTTCCCTTCTGATTCTGTCCCCAAGTGGAAACTAAAAGGATGCTTAGGGACAGAAATAATAATAACCTGCGCTGCGGAGAGAGGAGCTGCAGCCCGGCGTGGTTGGGAAGAGCCGCTGGAATCAGAGTGCACCGGCAGCCGCTTCGGGGTGGGGGGATCAGCCTCTCCACCACGCCTGGTGCACAGAGCAGAGCGAGCAGGGGAAGCTGCCTGCTGCCAAACGGGCTGTCCCGAAAGAGCAAATCATCCTCCCACCACCCCCGCTGCAGAGGCACTGAGCGGGAGCGGCATCGAGCAAAAAAATCTTACTTTTCCAGCGACACCCCCCAGCCCAAAAACAGGGCAGTGCTGCAGGGTTAGCGGCTCCGGGGCTGGCAGGGAAACGCTTTTCTAATTTTATCTCTGGCCTCTGTCCCACTGTGCGGCTGCTGGCCGGACCGCCTGGGCACCGCTGGGCTCGCCAGCAGCCTTGCCAAGCCACCTGGGGCTTGCCCGTCTCCGCTCCCCGAGATTTATGGCTGCGGTGACTTTCTGGTCGCTGCTTCGCCACCTGCCTGCTGGCCTTTAGCGCTGCTCGCCTGGCTCCGACCCTGCCTGCTGCACCCTTTCCTCCCTGCCATCCCTCTCCCATGAGCAGCCGCTGTCGTCACAGCCCTTCGCCCTCCTGGGCTGTCTGTCCGCTTCATCCTGCTGTCCGTCTTGCACCAATGTCTACCCACCAACACGACACATTCTGCTGCTGCCTCCCATCCCGGTGCTTTCCTCGCTGCTCCCAAATTGCACATCCTCTTTGCATGGCTCCTTTCCATTAGAAAAGTGGTGGTACAGCATCAATAGGGACAAATCCAGACAGAAGCCACTGACAAAAGAAGGCAATGCTGCTGCAACTGAGTTACATCATGGTTATGAGCCAGAGTGCTGCAAGCCCCCAGTGGAACAAACCCACGGGAACTGGGAGCAGAACTGGTGCATTTTGTCCGTGGTTGTGTTGAAGTTTTCTTTCTTTTAACAGTGGCTTGGACATTCCAGCCCACAGCATTGCTCTGCCATCACCGTGACCTGGCTACAGTGTATGTCCAGAAATGAAAGCATTTGGAGGAAGTTCTGCTATCCTAGAAATGGTGAACATCAAGGCGAAGGCAATTCTTCTTGCAGGACTTTTTTCTTTGCTCCTCATTTATTTTCCCAAACAAAGAACACCCTGAGGGCGGAGCAGTGACATTTCTGGTTGTGGTTTGATCATAAAGTGAAGGTTTTGTTGTGGTGGGCGCTGCTCATGGAATCACCCAGGCTGGAGAAGAGCTTCAGGATCACTGAGTCCCACCATACCTTGACCCATATCACACCCAGCACTTTGCCATGTCCTCATGTCACCACTATTGTCCCCATCAGCACCGAGCTCTGGTTTTGGCACTAGGGCATTCAGGAGGCTGTTAAAGCCCTGTGATTTTTCATGCATGGGAAATCTGTCATTGGCCTGTGATAAGGTCATGGCCAGCAACAGCTGTCTGTGTGCCAGGATATTTTTGAAACCAAAAATTTACATTTTGAAGAGGGAAAGGAGAAAGGTTTTTTATCGTGTTGATTTTAAAATAAAAGCAGCTCTTTGAATTTGCTGCGGGATGCAAAATGCTCACCTAAGTCCCAGGGAGATGAATTAATGGCCAGAGAACAAGAGAAGCTATCAGAGTGGCATGATTACATGTATTTACCACGTAGCTGTCATTTCTCCAGGGGTGATCCGGGGGAAGGAGAGCCCATACAAATGTAGAACAAGAATTAGGTTATTTGAGTCCCATTGGGTGGAGAAGAAGATTGCAGGCTGCCTGGCCGAGGAGCGTGCATTAACTCTTCTGTGGGCATTTTGTGTTCAGTGCAGATCTGGAGGCTGTGCAGGAGGGGTTTCCCAGGCTCTGGTGGACTTTACAGCTACAGGAGATCCCCATCCTGCAGGATGTGAACTTGGAGACGTGAAGCCGTGTCAGCTGTTCCATGTGAAGCACCGCTGGGTTTGGACAAGTTCTGTTTTCTTCCCTGTGCCCTTTGCCCACCTGCCACTGGGGTGGTGCAGCCCTATCCACACTGATGCCCCAGGTCCTTCTCCCGACCCAGAATAGCTCCCCTAGAGCTCATTATTGCATGTGTCTGTATACATATTTGCTGTTTGTGGTTTTTGGTTTTGTTTTTTTTTGCCACGCGCATTGCTTTGTATTTGCAGACATTGAATCTCAGCTGCCATTTTCTCTCAATTGCAGGCTAACTTTGAAGTGCCAGGACACATTTGTGCCGCACAGAGCATTACAATGGCATTCTGATGAGTTTTAATCTCCTCTTTTCACTTATCTTTTCCCTCTCCCTCCAGCAGAGCTGTGAGACACCGCGCTTATTCTCCTCCCAGCGGCCTCCAACCCTCAGATTGCTCAAATGCTCCATTCGTTTTGCAGCTTCTGCTGTGTCAGCAGCTGTGCTTTATGATTTAAGATGGCAGTAGAACTTTCCACTGAACTATAAACCCCCGTGCTTGGTTTCCCAGTATCCATGCAGCCAGGAGATGAGCTTGGTGGCTGGGACAGCCCTGCTATAAGGGGTTGGGATGGATTTAAGGTGCAGTGGGAGGCTGAGATGAGGCCAGGCATTGGCATAGGAACAGTGGGGACAGTGTTTTAAATCTGTGTCTTCCTGCATCCTCAAGTCTGCCAGTGCCCAGATGTGTTGTCATGTCTGTCAGAATATGGGTCTGCTCCTTATTGCTGACCTTTCTAGATCAGGGGATGATCCTAGCTGGGCAGAGTGTTGTTGGTAAGGCATTAATCCTCTTCTAACACAATGCCAGCTGGAAGTGGGGAAAGTTAATTAGGGTGGGGCATACCTGGTTTTGCTACATAAGGGTCCTGAAGAAGAGGGTCTGGTTGCTGACCTCGTGTATTTCCAAGACTAGGAATGATCCTATATGCACAGCACCAGGAGGATGACAGACATTTTTTCTGATGAAGAAGTAGCAAAATAGAGAATGAAGCACAGCTAGCACCAGCAAGTTGGAATGAGCATTGGAGCCAGAAAGGAAGCCTCGCATCCCTTCCAACACACAAAGCTGGCTGATAGGAAGAACACATCCAAGAGGAGGCAGAGCTCTTTCTGCCACATGTAAGATCAGGTTTTGTCAAAGAACCAGGAGGTGAGTGCTGGGGCTACCTTTCCCCTGCGTGTCCTAGGAGGCAGATGCATCAGTTAGCCCCATGCAGCTAACCCCACACTCTTCCCACACCACCCCTATAGCCCTCCTTTAGGCCCACTTGGTACCACACAAGTAGGCTGCCTGCACCATTCTGCTTCCAGGGCTGTTCACCTCGGTCGCGAGCAAAGCCTAGAACTCTAAGCTATTCTTGTCAAACCTTCACACCTCACCAGGCCTTTTACTATGCCTTGGAAGAGTTATGTCTTGGCTGAAGCCACCAGGTATGCTGGTGCGTTGCCCTGCAGCTCTGTAGGGCACTGGGAGGAGGTGGATGCCCTCCTCATCCCCATCACCATTACAAAAAGAGATGGGCATCTCCAATTTTCAGAGTTATACAAAGCAAGATCAGCAGTGCTGAAATGCATCCACCTGCCCCAGGAGTCCAAAAGCTCACAGGGAAGATTTCTCTGCTCAGGAGGAAATGAGCTCACCTGTGGAGCTGGGCAGTTGGCCTTGTCCAGTTGCTGGTCTCTCCTCCACCTGTGCTGCTGGAAATAGGAGAAAGCATTATTAGGCTTTTTCCTGGAACAGCTGATCAAATATCACATTATGTTTTTCTTTCTGCCTGCCTAGTTTTAGGAGTCTGAGCTTTGAATGGCACGATGCTATGGGTCTGTATGCACAGTACCAGGAGGAGAAGCTGTTTTTTTGGTGGAAGAAGTGGGGAAAAAAAAAAAAAGAAGGGAATCAGAGCCAGCATATCAGAGCAAGTACAGGAGCTGGACTCAGAGGGTTAAAGCAACCCAGAAAGCTTGAGAGGTTCCCTCAGGGCAGCTCCTGAACAGATGCAGGTAATGAATTTTCACTTCTGTGCTTTCATTATCATTGTTCTTAGCTGGAGGTTTACCATTTGTCCCCCTCAGCTCTGCAGCACGTTATTTGTGTCATTGAGGTGGCTGCAAGGACAGAGCTCCTCGCATGGCTTTCCTGCTGGGACTGGGATGGGTGCTGCTCTGGGGCTCCTGCTACATTGAGCCCACTTGCCTCTGCCTTCTCATTGCCTGCAGCAGTGCCAGGTACCAGGGTGCTGATGCAGTGTTGTGCCCAGCTGAGCCCACTGACCACCAGCCACTCTCCCGTCCCCATGCTCCTGCCCAACAGTGTTTAAAGGTGAGAGCAGGCATGCTGGGATTCAGTATGACCAAAGCTGGTGGAAGGATTGGTTGCTATGTTTTTTTTTCCCCTTTAAATATTTTATTATATCATAAGGTATCTACGTCTTCTCAGAGAGGTAAAGAGGAGAGCAAATTCAGATGCAAACTGGTGTATAAGAGGCAGTGCTTTGCATTGGTTCCAATCAAAAATTCTTTTCCATAATTTGTGCTATTTATTGATACGCTATTTCTGTAGTTTTCCTGGTAATTACAGAACTTGGGAGGCGACGTTAGTAATTCCTGTATCATCTCCCTGGTACTACTTCTTTTGGAGCTTATCCTCTCCCCTTCAGTGTGATCAGTGAAAGTTATTTGATATTCCCCACACATCCCAGAAAGTGGCAGAGCAGAAGAGGGAAGGCCGTGCCCTCCATGCACCAGCACAGTGCCTGGGGTTGCTTGCTTCCATGCCAGCACCACCCCATTGCTGGTCCCATAGTAACTTAACTGAGCTCGGTGGATTTGTCTTCACCTCTGTTGCAGCAGCAGCAGCACAGCCTGCAAGGACAACACAGCCATCAGCCTGTGGGTTGGGAAGGCACCTCTTGCTCTCCTGATCCACATCCCCATCTGTTTTAGGGTTACTTGAGCAAAGGGAGACTCAACCCTTGATACTGCACTGCTGTGTAAATGGGGAATGGTACTTGTCCAAATGTCTTCATCACCCTGAAAGTGTTGACTTTGGTCAGAACGGCCCGGTGAGGGTGGCTGCAGCTGAGTGCTGTGCATTGGGAACCCATCTGCCCCAAGCACAGCAGGGTGCCGTGGGTCTGTGTGCTGGTATGCTGATGGCTCACCATGTCCTGGGCTCACTGGAGAGCTTTGTGCTCCCTTCTGAAGACACAGCTAGCTTGTCCTGATTGGCGGCCAAATGTCAGTGGATTCAAATCGCTCGCAGCACACCGCAGCCAGCTCCGTGCTCTTTCCATCCACACTGGCTCAGATGACAGGGCGTGCTAGCAAGCCCCCCCCGAGTATTATTATCGTTATTTATTTGTGTGGTGGCAGTGCCTAGGAACATCCCTCATGCACCAGCAGCCTTCCACGTGGGACAGGTCATGTAGGAGCTCTGCTGCACAACGCAAGCACCCAACGCTGCTGCAGTGCAAGCAAGCGGGGCGGTTCAGTGAAAGCAGCAGTTCTGCAATTTAGCATAACAGGAGGGAATTGTTTCCCTGGGTTTTTGCTCTGCAAAGCCGGCTGTCTCAATCAGCTGGCTCCCCTTACGGTGTTTTTCAACTGTACAGAGACGAGCCAAGGACACATGCACGTAACGTGATCTGGGAAGATTCCCCGAGTGCCAGGAAGTTGGGGCCGCTCTCCCAGCCCTGTGCTGCCTGTCTCAGTATGGATGTGAGCTGGCTCTCCTCTGGAGCTGCAAGAGGAGCCTTTTGGGCTCACTCGTGCTTGTGACTGTTTGCATTAATACTGAAGTAACCAGTTTGTGCTCTTCTCCCAAGGCTATTTGCAAGACCTCAGGCTTTGCAAAGCCCCATCCCTGCAGAAATCATAGGTAGTTGTCCTTCCCGGTGCCACCAGCTGCAGGAGGACCAGCTGGCGTGGCCATGCTGCCCATGGGCTGTACTCGGCCTGGTTGTTTCTAAATGGAGGAAGATGAGGCACAACAGCAGCAATGAGCACTACCTGGGACCTGAGGAGCGGGGCACAATGTGACCCTCAGCCCACTACTGGTGCTCATGAGGGAGCACTGCTGCGTGTAGCACATCCTAGAATGGCTTAGATGGGGGGACACCGGGGCACAGGTGGGCTGGGGTGTGCAGAACGGGCTGGGGGTTTGGCCAGGACCCCTCAGCGAGGCCTTAATGCCTGCACTGGCTTTGCTACATGGCCCGGAGTGCCGTGGGAGGTCCAGGTGGCATGGCAGCATCATGTGAGGCACGGAGCTGGGGGCTGACAGCTTCCCCCAGCCAAGTCACTGCAGCCATCTGCTCCGCGCCATGCCAGGCCCACGGCTGCCGCAAAGAGCGTGCGTGCCGCAGGGCGCTGGGGAGCTGGTGGTAACAGGATCTGCAGGGCTTCAGAGAGGCGCTGACTCCGTCTTTTCAGCTCTGCCTTATGTATATTTATCTGTGCGTACAGACAGGGAGGGTTGCATGGGTTTTGCTGGGCTGGGATGGCTTCCCTCGGCCTTTGGGCGATGCGGAGCTGCAGTGCTGCGAGGCTCTGGGCTCCATCATTTCCATCCTGCTCCCTGCCCTGGGGCAGATGTGGCCTGGCAGAGCAAGGAAAGCGAGGCAGAAGGTTGGGCAGTGAGTGCCTTACTCAGAAACACGTCTTTTATCTGAAATGTGCACCTTGGCAATGCAGGAAAAAAGTCAGGAAAGGGCTTTCATTCAGTGCGATGCGTTAGCTGTCAAATACCTGACTCCACAGTTTGATTTCTGCCAACTGAATTAACACAGGCTGATGCAAGGTTTTCTGTCAAACCAGCTTTGATTTTTTTTCTGTTCTTTCATTCTTTCTTTCTTTCTTTTTTTTTTTTTTAAGGGCTGTGTGTTATCAAAGCTGTGGAAGCTTGGCAAAAAGATTGAATGAGGGCTGCTCATGTATGGGACACTGAAGACTCAGTGCATCATGTGCCTGGGCTCTGGGACGTTGGCACTGGGAGATTTCTAATATCCTGTCTTTGAGATTTAGTCCTTTCACTTCTTTTAACTTGTGAAATACGTAAGGTTGCTCCCAGCTCTGCCAAAACAGCTTTTCTTTTGTGATCCAGCTTGGACAAACATGAGGGACCTGCTCAGTGCTGGCTGTGCACAGCCTGAGCTCCTGGCGGACATTAATTCCAATTGAGATCCAAAGTGTTTCATGAGTTGGCTTAAGCCCCAAGGTGATTGCAACATGCCTACATCAAAAAGAACCATTTTAAAATGGGCCAGGTTTTACTTGCAAAGCATTGTCCTAATGCTGGGTGCATGGGGCAGGAGACTTGGGCTGGAAGCATCGTAGCAAGGTCTAGGCTACGAAGCCTGTCCTGAAAATGGGAAGCCAGGAGTCTCAGGAAGGAACAAATAAGATGCACAGCATCTTCTCAATGAATGGGTGTGCTCTGCTGGGTGCCTGGTTCAGAGGTGAGCCTAGGCTTTGAATGCAAGGAGTAAGCAGAGCTGGGAATCCTGGGATGGAGAGGGCTGCTGGTAGTGCAGCTGTCCAGCAGGGCTTGGGGCATTAGGGACCAAGGGGTTTAGTCGCTCTCTTCACCAGTTAATGAGCCACAACCTTGGTTTTCGTTGAGAAATGGGCTCCTAATGCTCTTGGATGGAGTTGAGTACAGATATGTGAGCCTTACGGTTTGGACACTGAAAGTCAAAGAAAAAGAAGCCTAAACCTCTTTGACTTAAAGGTCATGCGACTTGGTGTCATGGTATTTGAGGGTCTCGTGATTTTTAAATGTTAATACTGCAAGCTCAAAGCCTGGAAATTCACTGCCAGTAGTTATCAGCGGTGACTTGAAGATCCAAGTGGCTTCTAACTCGCTTCAGCAGAGGTCTGATGACAGAGAATGACCTGTAGGACCTTCTACACAAGGTCCATTATGGAGTATGAAACTGAAGAATTTTCCCAATTCCTTCAGTGTCTGCTATCTGCTGCCCAGTCCCCAGAATATTTGGTCTCCTGACATTCTGACAGCTGAAGTCACATCTGAACTGATGCTTTTTCCTACACAGGCACCTCGTGCTGTCAGCCTACTATTTAATCCCCAGGTCTATAGAGCTGCAGTGCCTGCACCAGGCTCCTATTTGCTGCCCTCTGAAGTGTGCAGGCAGCCCCCCAGTGCCCACCTGTGCTGCTACAACCGTCTGATGAATCCCCCTGCTTTTCTCTCCTAAATGAATTTGTTGCTGACAACAAACTGAGACCACCATCCTGCCCAGAAGTTGCTGAATTGTCATTCAGACAGCGTGTGGAGTGGTGAAGGGGAAAAGCTCCTCAAAGCAGGATTTTGGATTCTTTGTCCTGGCCCAGCACCCATCCTGCTTGCCCTTACCTCTGTGCCCAGGTGATGCAGAAGTTCCCGATGTTCTCCATGCAGCAGGAGTGTGGAGAAGACTGCCAGGTGAGACAGGTAGCTGCTCTGCTTGTTGTATGCAACCAGGACAACAGGTGACCAGAGGAGGAAGTGAGGTGCAGTGCACACTGACTCTGGTCTTTGCACTGTGAACTTGAGTCACAGTGGAAGAGCCATTCGCTACAGCTTAAAGGGAAAGTCAGATCACCTGGCCAGGCGTGGTACCAATGCACATATGGATTGCAATGGGTTTTTTGTTCCTGCAAGCACTGCTGACGTGCGTGATGGGAAATACAAAAGTGTGCAGGATGGGAAGGATAGAGGACAGCAGTGCTGCAGGGTGGTGGCACCTACCACAAGCAGGGATGGGACAGCCATATATCTGGGCTGTGGCTGGCTTTAAATACACCTGGGCTATCTGAGAGGCTTGGCTCGAAACCAACCAGGATATTGTTGGTCGTGTTTTCTTTAAATACCAGAGGCTCTTGCCCACGGAAGAAATGTAAACTGGCCTTGGGGTAAGCCTGCAGATTTGCCTGGCTGCCAGGCTCCCCCTGCCCTGGTTGATCCCCAGAAATGAATTCACAGAATTTCAGAACGGCTTAGGTTGGAAGGAAACTTAAAGCTCACCCAGTCCTGCCCCCTGCTGTGGGCTGGCTGCTCCCCACCAGCTCAGGCTGCCCAGGGTCCCATCCAGCCTGGCCCTGAGCACCTCCAGGGATGGGGCATCCACAGCTTCTCTGGACAGCAGTGCCAGGGCCTCACCACTCTCTGAGAATTCCATAATGTGGAAAACTCAGGACTCACTGGTAAGAGTAGAGAAAGGAGGGAAAGTGGGTCTTCTCCTTCCCAAGGAGGTGCTGGGTAGCTGGGAGGGAGAAGCCATGTCTTCCCTATATTTTTCCCATGTCTTCTGCTCGTATTCCCAAGTTTCTCCCATGTCTTATCCATGTTTTTCATCTTCTTCCACGTTTTTCCCCATGCACTCGGTGGATCTCCCTGTCCCAGCAATATTGTGTATGCATGTGGCCATGCTTACATACCTTCAGGAGCCCAAAGCTCTTCCATAGGGAAGTTAAATTTGAGCTTGAGACTTAAAAAAGGCAAACTGAGCAAAAAATATTCTGTCCAAACGTTAAGCTGGAGCTGGCTTGTGTTAGGAGGACTTATCTGTGCTCGCCATAAATCAATCTGGGTTGGTTTAATTGCTCATTTTCAGTAAATAAAGCTGTAAGTGAATGTTTATCCTGTCATACAGAGGAGATCTGTATGGACTGTGGAGAGGAGAGCCAGCAGAGAAATCCGTCTGAGAGCTCTTCCATTCAGCCCAACATCACTGCAGAGCACAGGATCCTAAATCAGAGCTGGACCAGGCGGGTGGGGCTGTGAGATACAGCCTATTTCTGGTAGATATCTGCCTGATCTGGACTCAGAAATAGTAATGTTGGCAATTCTGGGGGCAAAGGTGTGGATGAGCATAACAGTAGATTTTGCAATACGAGTCAGAAGTGCATTTAAGGCACCCGGCTGGGGTTTGGCCATTTAGCTGTGCCAGCAGAAATATTTTTATTTTTCTTTGCTGAAAGGATGCTCCGTGTGTTCCAGCAAGAAGCAGCAGCATGTTCCTTTGGAAGCTGAGACAGGGAGCGGAATGCCCAGCCAGCTGACTGCGTGTTGATAGGGACTGGATAGAAATGGGGGCGGTGGGGCAGCAGAACCCCCCCCCCCCCCGGCATCATCCCCGTGGGGATCATGAGCTGGGCTGCCCATGACCCTGCCACCTTTTCTTCCTAGAAAGTGCAGGAGCAGAAGCCCCAGGAGACATCCTCCAGCCAGCCTGGCTAAAATTAACCCACGGCTTCTAAAATTACTAGGTGGGAATTGCTGGGGCGAGGTCTCCCGCTGCTGCTCTCCTCTCTGCTGCTCTGTTTAAGGGTTTAACGGCATTTGTCATCTCTATTGGGAGCACAGGACTCACAGCTGACTGTGTGTGCTGGAGGGCTGGTTGCCTGTGTGGTACACGGCCTCATCAGGGATGCAAACAAGGTGCTGCTGCAAAAATACACATGCTTTAAGGCAAACAGATCAGCAGTGCACGCGCTCACTGCTGTGTTGGTGTGCCCAAATGCTGTACAGCCTGGAAAAATTTGTCTATCAGAGCTCAGGATGTCTGCTACAGTACTCTTTGCAGGTTCAATTTATTTTAAAAAGGGGCCCCTTCCCTTGGACACCAAGTTCAGTTTGCCTTAGTCCTTCAATTAAGGAGTGAACTGGGGCAGGAGGGCAACAAATGCCAGCATCCCAATGTGGACATGTGGTCTGTGCCCTACCGTGGCATGGGATTGGCTCCTCACTATGGGCATGTAGTTGGCATCTCACCATGGCCATGGAGTTGACGTTCCATCATAGGCACAAGGTTAGTATCCCACAATGGACACGTGGTTGGTGTTCCATCATGAATACCTTGGCACTTACCATGTGGTTACAGGGTGTGGTTACAGTGCAGAAAAAGGGCTGGGGCAGAAGTCAAGGATCCACAGCCAGGTTCTGCCCACTTGAGAGGGCTGCTCCAAGAGGAAGTCCCAGGAGGAGGAGGAGGGGAGCAGAGCTGCCTTCATGCTTCTGCTCAAACTCTTTCCCTGCATTGCGAGTTTCCCAAAAGGCAGTGAAGATGAGGACTCACAGTAACCACACGGTAAGCGCCAACATGCTCATGGTGGGGTGCCAACCCTGAGCCCATGATGGGCAACCAGCCGTGCAACCATGTGCCCAAACCACAAGCCTATAGTAGGATGCCAACCCCATGCCGATAATGGAGCCCCCAGTACAAGAAAGAGAGCTGTTGGAGAGGGTCCAGAGGAGGGCCACAAAGATGATCAGGGGACTGGAGCACGTCCCCTATGAGGACAGGCTGAGGGAGCTGGGCTTGTTCAGCCTGGAGAAAAGAAGGCTGCAGGGTGAGCTCATTGCAGCCTTTCAGTACCTAAAGGGAGCCTACAGACAGGAGGGGAATCAACTCTTTGAAAGGGTAGATAAGTGCAGGACGAGGGGAAACGGTTTGAAGTTGATGGAGGGGAGATTTAGGCTGGATGTTAGGAGGAAGTTCTTTGCTATGAGAGTGGTGAGGTGCTGGAACAGCTGCCCAGAGAGGCTGTGGATGCCCCATCCCTGGAGGTGTTCAAGGCCAGGTTGGATGGGGCCCTGGGCAGCCTGGTCTAGCATTAGGTGGGAAGGTTGGTGGCCCTGCACGTGGCAGGGGGTTTGGAGATTCATGATCCTTGAGGTCCCTTCCAACCCTGGCCATTCTGTGATTCTATGGTGGGACACCAATGATGTGGCCATGCTGGACCTGTGCCCATGGTGGGATACAAACCAGATGTCCATGCAAGGACAGCAACCCTACCTGTCTGCCTCTGCCATGGCTCTTCCATGATTCTCCCTTCTCCTGCTAGCATTTCCCTCTCTGGGATGTTCCCACTCCCTGCCCTGACAGCGGTTTCTGCTGGGGGCTTCTGTAGGGTCTGGATGCAGCCTCAGCCCTGCTGACTCCACACAGACCCCTGCTTCCCTGCCTGCGTGCTTGCTGGTGCCTCGCTCTTCCTGGAAAGCCCTGTATTTACCAGGAACCCTGAGATTTATGCAGGACGATGTCAGATACTACCTAATAAATTCGCCAAGAGATTATTATTCTTTTTTTTTTTTTTTTTTTTTAAATTTTACATTACCAGCTATTTCTAGCCTCTGTAAATGCAGCGATGATTTAACTGCAGAAGGTTTGCTGTGTCCTTCAAACGATGACAAATGCCACTGGAGGCGGAGTGCACTGCATTACAGAAGCGGGACTGTCCCGTGCAGAGCTCAGCACTGCTGGTTGCTGACCTCCAGAGGCTGGCAGGGGAAAACCTCAGCGTGGGCATCCCGTGTCCTTGGGAAGTGGGGAAGCAAGCTGCTGGGTGCTGTGCTTCCTCTGTGTCCCCTTTCTTAGCCAGAGAAGCATAGCAGCGGGTGCCGATTGAGCACCCACAGTGAAACAACCCCAGTGGGATGGTCATGCCTGTGCTCGCTGCCAGAATTACCCCTGAAAGTCGGAGTTTTGGCTGAAAGATCAGAGCGGGCTCAGTTTTCTTCTTATCTGGAGCCAGAATTCCTATTGTTTGCTTTCTGTAACCAAACCCCAGCAGCTGTAAACGGAAGCAATTTGGTTTCCTTCTCGGCTTTTCAAAAAAAGAAAAAAAAAAAGAAAAAAGAGAATGGAGGTAACTGTTTAAAGCTGTCTTTGCAAACTCTGGTTTTGATCAAAGAGCTGTGATTTTGGTCAAAGAGCTGCTGCGAGCATTTCCCCTTCCCAGCTTTCCCTGCTTCCCTTCCTCCACTTAGGCAAGAAAAAAATGTCCAGAGGCTCAACTGGCACCAAAGGGCCCCTCACTGGGAGGGGGTGACGTCCCCTGCCTGTTTGCAGTGCTGTTGGGGACCGCTGATGGAGGTGATGGCTGGGACCCATCACAGGACAGAACGAAACCTTCCGTGGGAGAGGGGTCCGAGGGAAAGTGGCCTTTGCGAAGCTGTGGTGTGGCTTTGGGGGATAGCTTCGGGCTGACGGTAGCCCCAAACGTCCATCTGTGGCCACGTCCCCTTTCCAGAACACGAAGAGAAATGGCATTTTGTTTCAGGATGAACGGATTTCCCTCGACGTGCGGTTCAAGCCCCCTCCTCCCGGTGCCTCCTGGGGCGGGGGCTCCCCACCGATAGCCCCCTGCAGCAGAGGGACTTCGGGGCGCGCTCCGTGCCCGCTGCCGCCCGTCCCCGGTGCCGGGCTCGGCTCCCCCAGGCCCGGCCCCTCCGATTTACTCCACTCCGCGGGCGCAGCTCCGTCCCCGCCCGCCCGCCCCGTCGGATCTCCCCCCTCCGGCCGCCGGGGGGCGCCGTCGCCCTTCGCACGGCGGCGCGGGGCGTGGCTCGGCGGGGCGGGCGGGGCGCTGCGATTGGCGGACGGGCTGCGGGGGCGTGGCGGGCGGCGGCGGGGGCGGGCGGCGGCGTGGCGGCGCTCCACACTCGCGGCGGCGATGTGACCCGGGCGGGCGGCGCGGTCCCGCGGCTCCGCTCGGCGCGGCCCGGCCCGGCCCGGCTGCCTCCCGCCGCCCATGCCCTCCCGCCGGCGGCGGCTGACGCCTGCGGAGCGGCGCGCGGTGCCCGGGGAGGCCGAGGCTGCGCGGCGGGGGCCGCCGGCCCGGGGCGGCGATGGCTGCGGATCTGGTGGTGCTGCTCTGCCTGGCCGCCGCCGCGGCCGCCGTGGAAGGTGAGGCGGGGGTCGAGCGGCCGGGAGCGGGAGGCGGCTTCGGGATGGGGGCCGTTCCGCCGGGAGATCCGCTCGGAACCGCGGGTCCCGCGGAGGGGCTCCGTGCCGCGCCCGGTGCGTCGCGGTTCGGGGAGGAGCAGC